GAGATCCTGCACCACAAAATAAATGATATTTTCATGCAAAAGTTGGTTTTCATCAGTAAGAATTGAAAAAGAGAATTGGTATTTCTCAAATGGTGGATCTGTGTTATCTGCAGCTATGCCAGCCTCACAGGTGTGTCCAATTAACCAAATATTGTCAGTGATCCCCTAATTAAGGAAGAATGTAATATGAAATCTGAAATACAGATACTGTATATAAATTGTCTTATCTGCCAAAGGACTGGTACTTCTTTCTAGCCTTTTTTTATTTTTTTACACCTTTGCCTGACAGCACAGTCAGGGGGTGACAGCACTTTCTTTGTTAGTGGTAATGAGTAAAGTGGTGTAACCTCTCCACTGTAAACTTGGAGAGAGGACAATAAAGGAGAAGCAGCATTCTGATAAGACATCAGCTCTGCTCATTCTACTCTGTCCTCCTGTTTGTATGTTTCCTGTGAACTCACTGGCATTCATCAGAGCTTGATTAGCCATTAAAGTAATGCTGTCAAAGGCTGATATCAATGTAGAATCTCTTATGTTACTTGTATTTAAAATACAAGTAATTACATTCAAAGGAATGCAAACTACTGAAATTGATTTTATATAACTAAAAACAATAAATGCCTGCATTGACCACTGGTTCTATAATTATTCAGTAATACAATTCTTCTGTGGAACCAGCGTTGGTTCCCCCTTTCATGTAATATGGCTGCTCTACCTACAGACCTGAGATGACATCATTCAATCTGTGTCTTTATGTGTTGGTTGCTGAGTAGAATTTATTACAAGAAGCATGCTTTGGGAGATCTGTGAGATTTTCCCATAGAAGAGCAAGTGGCACAAAATGTAAAGAGTATAGAGGCCGTGGCAACTTAATGGCAGGTGTATGGTGACAATAAATGAACAAAATATCTCCTGCAATGAGAACCAAGTTGCTTTCAAAAACAAAGATCAGCCTCGATCAAAAGTGTTTCCATTTTCACAGTAGGAAAAGCTTCTTGTGTAATAATGAATGCATTCAACCACAGGAAGTCATTACCATCACCCAGGTTGTCAGAAACCAGGGGCGGACTGACCATTTGTAAACTCAGGCACTGCCCGAGGGCCCGGGGTCAGTAGGGGACCTCATGAGATGCCCCTGGTACCTTTTCATCATAGGCTTTTTTGAGTTTTGCCCGGGGGCCTCATGAGTTGTCAGTCCGCCCCTGTCAGAAACACAAGCAAAGCGGTACATAGTTAGTAATTCTCAACTCATCTAAGGTTAGCCCTACTGCATGATAGCCATGGCATATGTGCTGGCATCATAGAAAGACTGTGATCTCCTGACTTCCTCAAACCAGTTACCATCCACACTGCCTAGATTATTGCATTTCCTTGTCCAATAATGACTGGCCCACCAGTTTTAACCTTTTTCAGAAGCCCAGAACTCCCAGATGTGATTGATTTACAGCCCTATTTACCTCAAAGTGCATAACATTCTGCTATCCTACTGATGCCATTAAATGTATACTTGGTGCATTTACCTATATTTGTTATCCAACAAACACTTCAGACCAAGGCATTGTATGAGGACACGGGTCTCTAGTATTTAGCATACTCTTTTGTCTGTCAGCAAATCTAAGTAAAACCTCACTTACATGGTCAGCCTAAACTAAATCTAAACTCTAATTAGATGACTTTTAGCTTACTAAAGTAATGTGTATCATAAACAATTGTCATTTTTTTCATAAAATAAAGTTTCCACCTATTTTTATACTTTTGTTGGATCTCACTTCTACATATCTCCTTAAGCCTTTTGCGAGAGTTTAGCAAGCAATGGGATTATGGGAGTCCCAGTATATATGGCAAAAAAAAAACCCTTTGCAAATCGTCGAATTTACTTTGGTAGATATATAGATTATCATCATCTGGGATGGCCAACAAAACCTAGTAAAATAATTTGTTGCCTATTGTAACAACAATCCCTTTGGACTTTGTTTTACCTATGTCCTAGATGCACGTAAACTTGCCTTTCTGGATCTAGAAGTAGGTCATGATAATACCAAAATCCATGCTAAAAATTACAAGAAATTGACTGTGGGGAACTCCTTATTGCATTTTGAAAGCTGCCATTACCCAAAATGGACCAAAAACATCCCCAAGGGGCAATTCTGCCACCTTAGACAGAATTGTACTAGGACAGCAGATTATATAGAGCAGAGCTCCACTCTAAAAGAAACATTTCTTGAAAGGAGTTATCTTGAAACCCCTAATCCATCAAGTCTATACTCTTTACCTTAATGGAAAACCTGAACAGAAATAGAAGGAAGCCTTTGATTGTTCAACCAAATTCATAACCAGATTCCACTATAAATATCGAAAAATGGAACATATTCTGAAAAGATATTGGAACATATTACTAGAAGATCCACATTTAAAACCTATTCTTTCCGACAGACCTCGTGTGACATAGAAAAGGGCCCCTAACTTAAAAAATAAGAGCCCAAGTATATTGCAATCTAATACTGTATCCTCTTCCTAGGTGTGCTTCAATCCTCTCCTTCATACAACATGGTAAAAAGGAGTTTACAGCTAAAGGAAAAACATTTAAGCTAGATGAATTTTATAATTGTAATGAATATTATGTAGGGCGCGCTTGTTGGAGCCCAACCTCTGTAGCTGTAGGATAAAGGTGTCAGATGGATATCAGGGATGGATGGATGGATGGATGGATTGGAGCAGTAACACTGAGGCAGCTCTTCTTAGAGTGGAAGCAAGGCTTTAATGCAGTAACAAGAAAAACAAGAAAAAGAGAGGAAGGCGCCTCTAAGTGCAGTATTGACAATTTATTTAGTAAACAATGGATAAATTGCACTTACAAGATAATGCATTTCGGAGCATGCTCAAACCTGAGGTCTAAAGAAGGAGCCTATTGAGCATGCTCCGAAATGCCTTACCGCCCCCCTTCACCTTCTACATCTGACTCTGCTCTCTAAGCTTCATTTTGATGCACAGGCACATCCTGGACTCTACTTCCTGATCTTATAGACAGAGTTTGCTGCTGGATGGCTGGATGTCCCACCTGGATCTTATTACATCACACGATGAGTCTTTTTTAACTATTTATCTTGTAAGTGGGAGAGGTGGGAGCCAGAGAGCAGGAATGTATGTATACCTGAGAGAGCCAGGAGGCTGAATATTTGTATAATTTGTTTTGATAGTGGATAGTCCTGCATGGGAAACATGTTATGGAACTTTCCTTTAAATGAAATTGGGCTAAAAGGCCCTTAAAAAAAGAAGGAAGCGAGTGGCTGTGTGCTGTAAAGCTCTACACTTGATGCTAGTTCCCACTATATATATTCGCTATATTGCCAAAAGTATTGGGATGCCTGCCTTTATGTGCACATGAACTTTAATGGCCCCCCAGTCTTAGTCCGTAGGGTTCAATACTGAGTTGGCCCACCCTTTGCAGCAATAACAGCTTCAACTCTTCTGGGAAGGCTGTCCACAAGGTTTAGGAGTGTGTCTATGGGAATGTTTGACCAATCTTCCAGAAGAGCATTTGTGCAGTCAGGCACTGATGTCGAACAAGAAGGCCTGGCTCGCAGTCTCCGCTCTAATTCGTCCCAAAGGTGTTCTTTCAGATTGAGGTCAGGACTCTGTGCAGGCCAGTCATGTGTTTCCTCCACCCCAAACTTGCTCCTCCATGTCTTTATAGAACTTGCTTTGTGCATTGGTGCGCAGTCATGTTGGATCAGGAAGGGGCCATCCACAAACTGTTCCCACAAAGTTGGGAGCATGAAATTGTCCAAAATGTCTTGGTATGCTGATGCCTTAAGAGTTCTCTTCACTGGAACTAAGGGGTCAAGCCCAACCCCTGAAAAACAGCCCCACACCATAATCCCCCTTCCAGCAATCTTTACACTTGGCATAATGCAGTCAGGCAAGTACCATTCTCTTGGCAATTGCCAAACACAGACATGTCCATCGGATTGCCAGACAGAGAAGCGTGATTGGTCATTCCAGAGAACACATCTCCACTGCTCTAGTGGAGTCCAGTGGCAGTGTGCTTTACACCACTACATCTGACGCTTTGCATTACACTTGGTGATGTAAGGCTTGGATGCAGCTGCCTGGCCATGGAAACCCATTCCATAAGGCTCTCTATGCACTGCTGTTGTGCTAATTTGAAGGCCACAAGAAGTTTGGAGATCTTTAGCTATTGACACTTGAGACAGTTGGCAACTTCTGTGCACTCTGCGCTTCAGCATGCGCTGACTCCGCTCCGTCATTTTACAGTGCCTACCACTTTGTGGCTGAGTTGCTGTTGTTCCCAGTTGCTTCCACTTTTTTATAATAACACTAACATAACAGCTGACCAGTAGTAGCAAGAAAATTTCACGGATGGACTTATTGCACATGCGGCAACCTATCATGGTACCACGCTTCAATTCACTGAGCTCCTGAGAGTGACCTATTGTTTCACAAATGTTTGTAGAAGCAGTCTGCATGCCTACATGCTTGATTTTATACACATGTGGCCATGGAGGTGATGGAACACCTGAATCATATGATTTGCAGGGGTGTCCCAATACTTTTGGTAATTTAGTGTATATGTTGTAAAACACCATCCTTATACCATATTTTTCGCTCCATAAGACGCACTTTTTTCCCCCAAAAAGGAGGGAAAATGTCAGTGCGTCCTATGGAGCGAATATGGAGCGGCCGACCCGGTATTTCTGCCACCGACACCTTGTCAGAATACCGGGCCGGCCGCTCAGCTCTTCTCTGCAGCAGGACCTTACCTGTTCCTTGGTCCAGCGCTGTACATTCTTCCTGTGCCGGCATCTTTAGTGTGGGCACCCGGCTGTGTCCCAGAAGACGCCGAGTCATTCACAAAGTGCAGCGCTTCTCGCGCATGCGCAGTGGACACCCGGCTGTTACAGTAAAGGGAGGACAACTCCGCGGAAGTGGGAGCGGGTACCTGTCAAATTCAGGTACCTGCTCCCCCTCCCTCCCCAAAGGTCCACAGTCTCTGCTCATCTCCTGTACTGTCTGCAGTCTCTTGGTCATCCCCTGTACTGTCTGCAGTCTCTGGTCATTCCCTGTACTGTCTGCAGTCTCTGGTCATCTCCTGTACTGTGTCCACAGTCTCTGCTCATCTCCTGTACTGTCTGCAGTCTCTTGGTCATCCCCTGTACTGTCTGCAGTCTCTGGTCATTCCCTGTACTGTCTGCAGTCTCTTGGTCATCTCCTGTACTGTCTGCAGTCTCTGGTCATCTCCTGTACTGTGTCCACAGTCTCTGGTCATCTCCTGTACTGTGTCCGCAGTCTCTGGTCATCTCCTGTACTGTGTCCACAGTCTCTGGTCATCCCCTGTACTGTCTGCATGAATGAATGCTACAGTATAAATAGAATTGAAAACAACTTTTGAATCACATTAACAAGTTAAAGCTTAATTGAGATTTTACTGATTGGACTTAAATTTACTTTAACAACCCCAAGTCAGCTGCTAACGTAAATTGGAAATTGATTTACCATATTGGCTTTGAGTAATACATTGTAATACAATATATTGCTAAATCACTGAACAGAGATTAAATTATTCCTTACATTTACTGTTTTAATCTGTTTTTCTTTCTGCATGTCCACCCAGAAAAAGATAAAAGCACAATCTGCATTCTGGAATGTGCTATTACTTGTGCATTTTCCACTGTCCAGAATAAAATGAACACATTCTTAAGTTGTTACTTAATGTTCTGGAACCGGCTATGATAAGCTGTAATAGCACATCTCAATCATGCACATATGGAAAAGTCAACTTGGTATAATTAAGCTTCTTTTCTTTTATTTTTTCCTTCTATTTTTGTTCTCCCTTGTTGAGCACATTTGCTTCTCCTTCTGAGGCATAAACGTTTTTTTTCAGTGTCCAGTAAAATGCACCAAACACTCACAAAGTATTAAATAGGAGATTTTAATTGTCTAAACAAGATTTGCCTTTTATGGAACTTTATGGACTTCAGTGAGTTAATGTTATGCGAAGATCTCAAATTCTACCTTAAGTTAAAGTAGTACTAAAGGCCAAATCAAAAATGTAATATATGATGCAGTCTGTCACTAGCATTAAAGAGGATGTTCACCCTCCACCATGCCCCCCATTATTTTTTTAAAGCCCTACTTACCTGGTGGTGAGGTCTGCTAAGTTTAGATATTCACAGACCCATTGGTTTCGGCTGTCCGGCTGAGATCCTCTTCTCTTCTGGCAGAGCTCAATCCTGTGCCGTCATGGTTTCCTGTGATGTCATCAATAGGTTTCTGGCTGTTCTGGGTTGAGCCAGCATGCTTCCCGATGACACACTGACAGGCCAACCCTCTCCTTTCCTTAATGAAAGGCTATGCAAAGGTAGGAAAGTGCAAGTCATTTGCCTAGACAAATGACATGCAACCATGAGGGTGGGCGGGCTGGACATTTTATTAAACAAAAAAAAAGGTAAATAAAGAAAAAAAAAACCCACAACAGTCCTATTCCTGCAGAGGACTGGAGGAGGAATGGAGAAGAGGGATCGTGTATTGGTGGGTGAAGATCCACTTTAAGAAAGCAGTATTTGTTCTGTTGTTATTTTCCAAATACCTTTTAGTCCCGGTTCACATACATGCAAACTGGATGCATTTTGAACAGCATACGATTCGCATGGCATGTCAACCAAAAGCCTTTTCTATGGAGCCGATTCACATACAGTATATGTGGGCCAGCCACAGTTTGATTTCAAAATGAGTCTGTTTTGATTTTCATCCCAGTTCAGGTGCAATTCCCAATGTCATACACTTTAACAATTCTTAGCTGAATTGTACCTAAACCTCTGAATGAATTCATACAGGACAGGGCTGAAACTGCGCTGCAAGCTGGCCCCACACATATGTGAACCCAGGCTGGCAGACCAAGCTGTGCAGAAGTGGAAACTAAAGGGTTGAGACAAACTATTTCACATGGTTGCCCACAATGGTCAGCTTTTACAAATATAGCTTTGCCTTTTTAAAATATAATACATATCCCCTTAACAAAAGACATCAGTATAAGCCTGCAAAGATGACCTACTACAGAGTGGTATGCAGGCAGATTTCTGGATGCATTGCGGGATTGCTGGAGGATTGTAACCCAGATCACTGGGAAAGCTATGTCTGACCCAGAGGCAGACTGACAACTCATGGGGCCCCCGGGCAATAGGGTATCATGGGGCCCTTGTGTCCTTGCCCACACTCAAAGCATACCCAAAAAAGCCTATAAAAGGTACCAGGGGCATTTCAAGGGGCCGCCTACTGACCCCGAGCCCTCAGGCAGTGCCTGAGTACCTGAATGGTCAGTCTGCCCCTGGTCTGACCTTACCCATTTGGAAGTCAGACATAGAGGTAAGAGGCTCTATTGAGGGGTGGTGAAATGCACTGGTGGAACACACGTTTTCTTAGAATATGCACGGCAGGCATGCATGTAAATGGATGCATGTGATAACACAATAACAACACGTCATTTATGAAGAAGATTGTGGACTGTGCTAATTTCAAGGATTTGAGTTTCATATTGACTATGTATACTGTATACAATATATCTAGTGATTTGACACAGTGGGATCCAACAATTAGTATTTACTTGTTGCACTATACTTTGAAGGTTTATATTGTCTATAGAGCAGCGGTTCTCAACCTGGGGGTCGCGACCCCTTTGGGGGTCGAACGACCATTTCCCAGGGGTCGCCTAAGACCATCGGAAAACACATATTTCCGATGGTCTTAGGAACCGAGACACCGCTCCTGTCTCCGGCGATGTGTTGGCGGGATATGCTGCCCCTGTCACCGCCTCCTCGCCGCTGATTGGCCACCGGAACTGTAGCTCAGGAGAGGCACACAGGCGGCCAATCACCGGCGAGGAGGTGGAGCTTGGACAGGAGGAGCCGAGCGGCAGCGCGCGGAGATCAAAGAAGATGGAGGGAGCTGCAGGAGCGAGTGAAGAGAGAGTCCAGAGAAGGAAGACAGCTGACAGGTAAGTGCAAATTTTTGCTGCTGCAGCCAGGTATGCAGGCTGTAGATGGGGAGAGGGAGAGAGCGAGCCCAGGCTGGAGCAGGAGTCAGCAAGGTAAGTATCATTGGTGTCAGTGGGAGGGATAGTGCCCCATCATTTGTGTCACTAATACCAACGATGGGGCACTATTCCTCCCCCCACTGACACCAACGATGAGACACTATTCCTCCCCTCACTGACACCAACGATAAGGCACTATTCCTCCCCCCACTGACACCAACGATGGGGCACTATTCCTCCCCCCACCACCAACTGGGGCACTATTCCTCCCCTCACTGACACCAACGATGGGGACACCAACGATGGGACACTATTTCCCCCCTGACACCAACTGGGGCACTGACACCAACGATGGGGCACTATTCCTACTATCCTCCCCCCACTGACACCAACGATGGGGGGCGCTATTCCTCCCCCCACTGACACCAACGATGGGGCCTATTCCTCCCCCCACTGACACCAACGATGGGGCACTATTCCTCCCCCCACTGACACCAACGATGGGGCACTATTCCTCCCCCCACTGACACCAACGATGGGGCGCTATTCCTCCCCCCACTGACACCAACGATGGGGCGCTATTCCTCCCCCCACTGACACCAACGATGGGGCGCTATTCCTCCCCCCACTGACACCAACGATGGGGGACACCAACGCTATTCCTCCCCCCCCCCAACGATGGGGCGCTATTCCTCCCCCCACTGACACCAACGATGGGGCGCTATTCCTCCCCCCACTGACACCAACGATGGGGCGCTATTCCTCCCCCCACTGACACCAACGATGGGGCGCTATTCCTCCCCCCACTGACACCAACGATGGGGCGCTATTCCTCCCCCCACTGACACCAACGATGGGGCGCTATTCCTCCCCCCACTGACACCAACGATGGGGCCCCACTGACACCAACGATGGGGCGCTATTCCTCCCCCCACTGACACCAACGATGGGGCGCTATTCCCCCCCACTGACACCAACGATGGGGCGCTATTCCTCCCCCCACTGATACCAACGATGGGGCGCTATTCCTCCCACTGATACCAACGATGGGGCGCTATTCCTCCCACTGATACCAACGATGGGACACTATTCATCCCACTGACATCAGTGATGGGGCGCTAGTCCTCCCACTGCAAAATTACAGTTATGAAGTAGCAACGAAAATAATTTTATGGTTGGGGGTCACCACAACATGAGGAACTGTATTAAGGGGTCGCGGCATTAGAAAGGTTGAGAACCACTCAAGAGGGTCATTTTAGGTGGGCTAGTAGACTTAAATGCACTTAAATGCACTTTACATAATTACCAAATTAGGCTTCGTTCACATATACGGTATTCATTTTTCATTTGATGCTTTCTCCAGTGCTTTTTGCAGTTTGTTTTGCGTTTTTCTAGAAACGTTTTTGACACGTTTTGTTCAGCTTTTTTTTTTTCTTAAAGTGGAATTTTGTTTTGCTGCTGCGCAGAATAAAAATGTGAAAAGCAAAAATGTGGCAAAAACGTACTACCATGCATTTCAGCACCTTCTCTATTGAACTCTATTGTAGCAAAAATGCTGCTTTTTGCTTTTAAAAAAGTACCTGACCCTTTCCAAAAACACAGCAGTTCAAAAAAGAATAGATGTGTACATGTTCTATAGGGAACCATGTTAAATGGACTGTAGTGCGTTTCTGCAAAAAGCACTAAAAAAACACATTGGTTTGAACGGAGCCCAAAAGTCTAACTCCAGCTAACAGGAGTTCTTTTGAGGATAAAGATTTTACCTAAATCAATAAAAGTTTAACAATTTTGACCGCTTCCCCCCTTAAGTATTAAACAGTTTGTCTCAATATCTTTTGCTGGACCTCTTTTGCTGGACAGCTTGGTCCATTAAAGGGAATTGAAAAATAATCAACAGGTAAAACTGGTTCATCAGGTAAAAGAATTACAGGGAGAAGTCAGAAAAATATAGACTGCTTTGTAAATACAAATGACAGGTTGCATCATATACTCCATATAATTTTTGATTTTGGCTTTAGTACCACTGTAAGAAATTATTAATTTATAGAGAGAGTTAGCCTACTTGCTGTGTAAAAAAAAATGAATTAACTCATGTGCTACCGCTATCCTATACCTCAACTAACTTAGTACAAACAAAAGCTGCTGCAGGCACAATAATATGTTCCCACTTCAAACAGTGAGTTAAATAATAAATTAGTGCTGCGCTGCTCTCTTAACACCAAAATCTTACTTTCACAATCAAAATTCACTTCACTATATCAGGAAAAAAAAGATACCAAAATTCTTATTCAGTACTTGTATAAAAAC